GTCTTTTTTCTCCCAATCTCTCAGGTTTTGTAAGGTTTCCAATGGCTTCAGATCTTTTCTGTGTGATGTATGGGCGCGAGTGCAAGTACGGAGCTCCTTACTTCTCCGCCATCTTGCCCTCTCTCTCTGGTTTGCTTACCTGGGCTTTTAATATGAAAGTGGAGACAGCATTCCTGCAGCTCCTAGGTCCTTTTAAATTGTGGCTTTTTTTTTTTCTTTTTTCTGTGCCTCAGCATGACCTGTGCTAGTGTAGGTTTGCAGACCTGGAATACACTGAGGTATCAAGCTCACTGTGTGGAATGTACCCTCCCGCTATCACGATCAGATTCAGTTCTGGCCTGGGCATTTAAAGTGAAGAGGGAATGTAAGCCATATAGATCTCCAGTCTCTCTGACTCAGAGAGCATTCCTAAAGTTCATGCCACTTGTTGAAGTTTTTTTTTTTTTAATATTTTATTTTTGAGAGAGGGATAGAGACAGCATGAGCAGGGGAGGGTCAGAGAGAGAGAGAGACACAGAATCCGAAGCAGGCTCCAGGCTCCGAGCTAGCTGTCAGCACAGAGCCCTATGCGGGGCTCGAACCCATGAACCGTGAGATCATGACCTGAGCTGAAGTCGGACGCTTAACGACTGAGCCACCCAGGCGCCCCAACCATTTGTCGAAGTTCTAATGTTGTCTCTTTGATAAACCATTTGCTCTTTTAAACCATGCTTTTTCCCTGTGGCCCAGCACAGAGGAAGCCGTTCCTGGTTTTGTAGTATTATCCCTCCCCACTACCATTCTCAGCATCAGGCTAGGGTTTCTCTTTTTTACGTGTTTCCACCTTTCTTGGTGTTCTTTATTGCTGTTTTCTGTGTTTTTTGTTGTGAAGATGGTTTTCAGTTGGTCCTCAGTTCTTAAGGAGGAATTTTTCTATATACAGGTATTATTTCCAGTGTTGCATGGAGTGTGAGATTTAGGTCATAATGCAACTAGTTTTATTTTTGTGTATGGCCTGAGATAGGTATCTAAAAGTTTATATGGATATCTAATTATCCCAACATATTTTATATATTTTTATGTAATAATATATACTTTTTACACTGGCTTATGATGTCTCTTCTGTCATCTACTAATTTTATGTATGTATTTGGATCTCTTTCTGCACTTACAGTGTCCCTTTGGCTACCTGTCTCTCCCTGTACCTATACTCTCTTAATTGTTATTGCTTATAACAAGTCTAGCCTATTGATAGGGAAGTTTGACCAAATCGTTATTCATTACTTTCCTTACTATTCTTGGACTGGCACTTCTCTGTTGAATGACTTAAATTTTATCAAGTTCCATAAAAAATCCTACTGATTATGATTGCATTGAATGTATAGATTGAGAGAACTGATACCTTATGATTATTCAGTTTTTCCATGCATGGAAATGGGTGATTGCTATATTGATATGGGAACGTTTGTCTTTCAGTAGTTTAAAGTTTTTTACATAAAATGCATGCACATCTTTTCTTAGATTTACTTCATGGTAGCTTATTCTTTTAGTTGCTGTAATGAATCCCTAGCTATATTTTCTAATTATTTTTGACATATAAGAATTCTATTAATTTTTATATGTTGATCTTGCATATAGGAATCTTGATGGGATCTTATTAGTTCTAATGATTTACCTAACCTATAGGTTTGCTTGGCTTGGTTAAGTAGTAAATTATGTCACCCTATAAGCATTCACAATTTTAAGATTTTCTTTCCAGGCTTCATACTTCATATTTCCTTTTCTTGTCTAACTGCCGTGGCTAGAGTTATCACATAATGTTTATTACTAAGAGTTATAGGGGTGCTCTGGATTTGGTCCATACTTTAATGGGAATGCTTCTAAAAATTCACCATTACATCTGGTGTTTGATGCTTTTGCTGGGTAGTAGTTGTCAGGTTAAGAAGTCCCTTCCTCGTTTTAGGCTGCTTTTTTTTCTTTTTCTTTTTGGTAATAATAAATATGAATGAGTGTGGTACTTAATCTAGTGCTTTTTTGAATCATCATTTTGTAAATATGGTAAATTACACTAATAGGTTTTCAAATATTGGATTATCCTTGAAGTCTTAGAGTAAACGTTACTTGAACATAATATATAGTGACTTTCTTCAGTTTTATTGAAATACATTTGACATACAGCACTGTATAAGTTTAAGGTGTGTAGCATGATGACCTGACTTACATATGGAATAAAAAGAAAGTCACAGTAAGTTTAGTTAATATCCATTTCCTTGTATATATTTTAAAAGCGAAAAAAATGTTTTTTTCCTTGTGATGAGAACTTTTAGGATCTACTTTCTTCGCAACCTTTAAATTTTCAGCAGTGTTAAGTATAGTTAATTATAGTCATCATGTTGTATGTTGCCTACCCAATACTTATTTATCTTAGAACTGGAGGTTTATATTTTCTGAGCACCTCATCCAATCCCTCCAGGCTCCCATCTTCCTGCCTCTGGTAAACACAAATCTGATCTCTGTTTCATAGTTTTTTTAAAAATATATTTTACATATAAGTGAGATCATACAGTATTTGTCCTTTTCTGTCTGACTTATTTCACTTAGCATAATGCCCTCAAGGTCCATTCATGTTGTTTTGTGTGGCAGGATTTCCTTATTACAGTGACTTTCTTTTTTTTTTTTTTTTTTATGTTTTTATTTATTTCTAGGAGAGAGAGAGAGAGAGAGAGACAGCGTGAGCAGGGGAGGGTCAGAGAGAGAGGGAGACACAGACTGAAACAGGCTCCAGGCTCTGAGCTGGCAGTCAGCACAGAGCCCGACGCGGGGCTCCAACCCATGAACCGCGAGATCATGACCTAAGTGCAAGTCGGACGCTCAACCGACTAAGCCACCCAGGCGCCCCTACAGTGACTTTCTTATATATTGCTTCTACACCAATGTTTTGATTTTTGCTTTTATCTTCATGAATGAGTTTGGTCTATAATTTTCCTTCCATGTACATTTTATCATTCATTCATGCAACAGATGTTTATTAATTTAACATTGTGTTCCATGTACTGGTTTAATAAAGGTGGATACAGTAGATAAAAATCCTTGCTTTCATTAAACTTTATATTTCACGAGGAAGAAGACAGACCATAGACAAGATAATTAATTAAATAAATAACTAATTAAATATATAGTTTGTTAAATATTCACAAGTGCTAATGATAAAAAATAGGCAGGAATAGGGATAGGGTGTATATATATTATGTGTGTGTGTGTGTGGAATATGCAGTCTTAGATAAAGATTTTTAAGGAAAGCTCTCTGGTAAAGTGACATTTCAGTAAAGACATCTGCGGGAAGGTATTTTAATGGCCCTGAATTGTGCATGTTTCTGGTGAGTTCAAGGAATAGAAAGGAAGCCACTGTGGCTAAAACTGGTTTTGTTATTAGGCCACTAAATGATTGGATAGCTTTCTCAGCTTTTAAAAAATGTATTTTTTTGAAATAATCATAGAATCACAGGAAATTGCAAAGATAGTACAAAAATGTTCCTTGTACCTTTAGTTTTGAGTTTATCACAAAGGCTACTTCTTTTTTTAAATGTTTATTTATTTTATTTATTTTTGAGAGAGAGAAAGAGAGAGTGAGTGAATACAGGGGAGGGACACAGAGAAAGGGAGAAAGAGAATCCCAAACAGGCTCTGCACTGTCAGCACAGATCATAATGTGGGGCTGGATCCCACAAACTGTGAGATCATGACCTAAGCCAAAATTAAGAGTCACATGCTTAACTGACTGAGCCACCCAGATGTCCCCGCAGTGTGTGTGGGGGGACTTCTTATGGTATCAAAACCAGGAAGCTGACATTGGTATAATGTGTACATAAAGTTCTATGCGTTTCATCACCCTTGGAGATCTGTTTGACTATAACTTTAGTCAAGATATATAACTAGCCCATTACCATGAATATCTCCTTCATGCCACCCCCTTGTATTTGCATTTACCCACCTTCCTGTCAACATCCTTATCCCCTGGCAACCAAGGATGTGTTCTCTATCTCTGTATTTTTGTCATTTTGAGAATGCCCTAAAAATGGAATCATATAGTATATGATCTGTTGAGACTGCCCTTTGTTTTTCCCCACTCAGCATGATTTTCTGGAAATTCTTTTGAGTGGTGTGTATCATTAGTTTATCCCTTTTTATTGATGAGTTACGTTCCTTGTATGGATATATCTTAGTTTTTCTAACCATTCACCTGGTGAAAGATATCTGGGTTGTTATCAGGTTTTAACTACTAATAAGGCTGCTAAAAATATTCTTGTAGAGGATTTGGGGCAGGTATATGTTTTCAGTTCTCTGGGATAACTGCCCAGGAACACAATTGCTGGGTTTTATGGTGTTTTTAAATAAAATTACAAACTGTTTTCTATAGTGATTTTAGTTTTACATTTGCAACAATAGTGTATGAGATTCAGTTTTTCTACAAACTTGTCAGCTTTTGATATTGTCACTTTTTAATTTTAGCCTTTTTGATAATTATATAGCTGTATTTCATTGTTGTCTTAATTTGCATTTCCCAAATAGCTAATGATGTTGAGTATCATATATTGTACTGGTTTGCAATCCATATATACTCTTCAGTGAAATATTTCTTCATATCTGTTGCCCAGTTTCTGATTGGATTGATTGTATTTAATTTTCAATTTTGGATATTCTTCATATATTCTATATGATGTGACCCTTTTCTGAAAATACGTGGTTTGTAAATATTTTTTCCAGTCTATAACTTGTCTTTTCATCCCCATAACAGGTTCTTTTGCAGAGTAAATATTTTTTTTAATTTTAAAAGTTTGATGACATTCCATTTATAGATATTTCTTTTATAGATCATGTTTTTAGTGCCAAGTCTAAGAACTTTTCAGCAAGGATTAGGGCCTAAAGATTTTCTCAAGCTTTCTTCTAAAAATATTATTGTTTTAGGTTTAAGTTTATGGTCCATATTGAGTTAATATTTATATAAGGTATGAGGTTTATGTTGAGGTTCATTTTATGCTTCATATTCAGTGGTTCCAGCACTGTATGTTGAAAGCTATCATTCAATAATTTTTACACTTTTGATAAAAGATCAGCAATAATTTATGTGGATACTCTACACTGAAGGAGGTGGAGCATAACTCCCCTCTCTTTAAGCGTGGGCTGTATATAGTGATTTCCTTCCAAATATACAGTGTGGAGTAGAGGAAAGAAACAGTAATGTTAGTATGTTAGAATACTGACAAATACTGCCTCATCCAGGCAAACAATGTGAACATCAACAATGGTAAGTCAGGTTCAGAGTGTGTGCCTGTAATATGATGTGATAACAAGGGCACTTTTGTGTTTTGTTCACCAAAACATATAACCATAGTTTATGGGAGAAATATCATAACATTAGGATTGGCAGATATTTTACAAAATACCTGACTAGTGCTCTTTAAAATTGTCAAGGTATTAACACAGTTGAAAGATTGAGTAACTGTCACAGCTAAAAGGAACCTAGGGAGATATGACTATTAAATGTAATGTATACTCTTCCAGTTATAAAATAAATAATACAAGGTAATGTAATATACAGCTAGGGAGTATAGTAAATACTATTGTAACAACGTTGTATTGTGATATACAATAATCTCTTATTGTGATGACCATTCCATAATATTTATAAATATCCAGTCACTATGTTGTACAGCAGAAACTTATAAAATGTGGTATGTCTATTATACTGTTTTCAGCCAAGAAAAGAAGAAGTACTTAAATAAAAGCATTTATTTGGAGTCTCACAATTGCAATCCAGGAAACACCCATTTAGATAGCATCACAATTGTGTTCTGTTGAGTAAAAGTCAGGGGTCTTCATTAGTAAGTTGTGGAATTATTAGGAAATGAATGGAAGTTGTTTTCCAAAAATTATGATTGGAATATATAATTACATTTTACAACTCACTGGGTTTCTGAGTACATTATGTCTGTTATTAGGAAAATATATTTGCGTAGTGTCCAATTTTTGTCAAGGATGTGGGTGCAGCAGCCTTGTGTTCAGTCATATACTTCTGCCCAGTTTGAAAGTTCAATAGAATCCCTATTTCAAAAAAGAAGGATGAAGTTTTTAGTCCTAGAATAGAGTTTCTCATGTTCAGAGGTTTTATACAAGTTTACATTTCCCCCTTTTGACTGAGATATTTCCTCTGTAAAACATCACAGGTCAACATTTGACTCCTCATTGCCAGAGTGGTCTTCTATATCCACTCTGATTTGACCATGTACCTAAGAGTGGGACATTAATGATCTTGTTTTGGTATCCTAAGTGAGGAAGGTAGAGTCATATGGGTTGTGAACTTTGTGAATTTTAGTGATGCCAAACATTGTCATTTGGGAAAACATAAGGCATGTGACTGAGCTGGGTATAGCAGAGAGAATAAGTTTAGATATGCATTTAAGAATCATTAAATTATGGAGTAGTATAAGAAGCATAACGAAACAAATTTAGTACATAATGATTGAAAACCATTGAGGTCACATTTAAGTAACAAGGAAGGGCAGTAGAGAGAACTTTCAGGTACTTCCTATCTGAAGTTTTAATCTTATCAAGGTCATAAGCATTGGAGATCATCTCAAAGCAATGAGCTACCATCGCCCTATTTACTGCATTGCTGTTGAAGAAATTTGACAGGCAATAGGCACAAAGTTTTAAAATAATCCTATAAAGAAGAATTAAAGGTAATGACAGGTACAAGTTGTATGATAATTCTAAACAAAATGCCCAAATCTGAAGGCAACCAGTTAAATAGATGAGAAGACCTGAGGTCTTTAGGGAATTCATTTTAGCCAAATGTGCTTGTCTTCTGATTTTATGCAATTGCATTTCTTCTTTCCCAGAGGAATTTATCCATGTGCAACAGGTGGTATTGCTATTTTAAAATGCCTTCTTGTTCAGCACGTAATCAATGGCTAGGTGCATGGGGCATCCTGTTACAAAGAGAACAGAGTCTTATTGAACTTAGGCAAATCATACATTGTCATAGAAAATAAGGATATTTCTTTCCTTTCTTTTTTTTTTTTTTTTTTGAGAGAGGAAGAGAGAGAGAGAGCAAGTGGGAGAGAGGGGCAGAGGGGGAGAGAGAGTCTTAAGCAGGCTCCATATCCAGTGCAGAGCCCAATGTGGAGCTCAATCCCACAACCCTGGGATCATGACTTGAGCTGAACCAAAGAGGTGGATGCTCAACTAACTAAACCATACAGGTGCCCTGAGAATAAGAATATTTAAAAGAGTTTCAGAATTCTGAAGGGATAAGGTAGGGAGAAAAAAAAATAAATGCTCATTCAACTTTTGTTTTAAAGATATACTTCACCAAATTGTAAGTTATACATAGCTTAAAGTAGAGGAAAAAAAGATGTTCTTTAAATCTGGAAAACAAAACATTGAAGAAATCAGTTTTCTTTTAGGGTTTTAGAAATTCTTATCTACTTCAGTGTTATGATCTTAAATTTATCAAAACCTGTGTTTTAGAGTATTTGTCACAATCTTTTTTATAAATCTCTTTGAAGATGAAGTACTTAAAACAATAACTGTCCGTAAATGACAAAAGACTTAAAAAATAGCAATAGTTAGAGATCCGAAGAGAGTTCATTATGATGTAATTGACAAGGAGATTTGATTATTTCTGTGACACACTATTTCATGATAATAACTAGAATTATATTTACCCAAGGACATATCAGGATTTTAGGAATTTTATGTAATTTCTACAATACTTGTAAAAATATAACCTAAAGAAATACTACTTTTTCACAATGCTTTCTATGTAAATTAGTATATTAGGTAATCATAATTATTGTCACATCTCATTTTTTATTCTTTATTTTTTAATTTTTTTATTTAAAAACTTTTTTTAATGTTTATTTATTTTTGAGAGACAGAGACAGAGTGTGAGCAGGGGTGGGGCAGAGAGAGGGAGACACAGAATTCAAAGCAGGCTCCAAGCTCTGAGCTGTCAGCACAGAGCCTTACGTGGGGCTCAAACTGATGAACTGTGAGATCATGACCTGAGTCAAAGTTGGACATTTAACCCACTAAGCCACCCAGGCACCCCTCATCTCATTTTTTATAAGAAGAGGGAACAAATCTTTGAGAAGTTTCAGAGACCATCAAAATCTCTCCAGGTTATTGAGCTGAGAGTTATTATTTGGGGGTTGGGCAAAATGAGTGAAAAGAAGTGGGAGATACAGACTCCCAGTTATAGAATGAATAAGTCATGGGAATAAAAGGCACAACATAATGAATAGTCAATGATATTATAACAGCCACGTATAGGGATAGATTGTAGTTACGTTTGTGGTGAACATGGCATAATGGATAAATTTGTTGAAATACTATGTTGTATACCTGAAACTAATGCAACATTGTGTGGCAAGTAAGCTCATATTTTTAAAATATTATAAAAAAAGATAATTAGAATTTGATTTTGGGAAGTTTGTGAAAAATATCAAAAAATTTTAGCTATTTGACCAAATAGGATCACAGATCATTGTGAGACAATATTTAATTATTTATTTGACCACTGTGACAATAAAGGATTTCAAAGACAAATGTAAGGGTTGTAGTTGTACCGGAAATTATTTTGATAAAACAAAAAATCTTTGGTTTTTAAATATGTTACTTTGTTTTTTTTAAAAATTTTTTAATATATATATATATTTTGTTTATTTCTAGGAGAGAGAGAGAGAGAGAGACAGCGTGAGCAGGGGAGGGTCAGAGAGAGAGGGCGACACAGACTCTGAAATAGGCTCCAGGCTCTGAGCTGGCAGTCAGCACAGAGCCCGACGCGGGGCTCGAACCCACGAACCGCGAGATCATGACCTAAGCGAAAGTCGGACGCTTAACCGACTAAGCCACCCAGGCGCCCCTAAATATGTTACTTTGAAAGATGAAAATCTTTCATAATATCTTATCAAAAGCAGACCAATATTCCAAGAAAGCTTTGTCCTTTTAACAGGTACAGGATAATTTTTAGTTTTGCATAAGTACATTATTGGTATTAAGGCTTAATTTAAAAACCCTTAGAATAACAGTTCAATCTTTAGCCAGTTGTTCATATATATAATTGTTTTCTCCAAATTTCTTTTCCATAAACGTTTACTACTTTCTAAAGTTCTGTCCTATATATTTCCTTTTTTATTCTGGAACAATCATCTTACTTTAGGACAAAGTTACTTCTTTTTTCCTTTACCAACTCCCCTACCATGTACTTTATACCTTTCCTTATCCAAAAAATATATTCTATTTTCCTTATTTACTTTTCATATACATTTACTACCTTTCACTCTTATTTCTGGTGGTTTTGTAAAAAAAATCTCCTTTTTTGACAATTTCAATTTTTTTAGTTTAAATGTTACTTTCTCAATTTCAAACAAATGTAAATCTCATCTACAAAAGAAATTCTGAGAGTTATTACAGAATAACTACAGATTTACTCTTAGAGGATAGCATATTGCTTGTACATTACATTAAATGCATATAAACTCCTTCTATATTATATAGTTAAAACATACACAGTTTTTGGAAATTACAGTATGAGATTTATTTGCATTTATAGGCTCATCCTGACATTGCTTTACTAGACTAGTAATGACACAATAGGCAAGAGCAATAGGATCCCCACATTATTCCTGAAGAGAGTTGTTCTAAGTTGACTAGGAAGAATAAAGCTTTTAAAACACGGGACAATTTCTAGACTGATGGCAGAGCAGTGTCTGGAAAGCCATCACCAGTATTCCCAGATAGTTACTACTTGCAAGTACATATAGGAAATGGCAAAAGTTATTTTAAATACAGATTGTTGCCTGGCTAGATATCTAAAAGACAAGGCAACAAAATATGAGCCTATCAAAGAGTGATATATTTGGTCTTGAGGAGTTATCACTGTGTGTGTACAGGACAGAAAGGATAGTGGTTCTTGTAATGACCTTTTTAGTTGTCTGTACAGACCCTCTCGTTGCTCAGTTTATTGTGGCGTAAGAGTAGTGGCATTAGGGAGAGTAGCTAGAATGGCTTTATAGTAGGAGGACACTAGGCTTGTCTTGTCCCTCAAACATAACTAGATAACTATCATATCATTATGAATACCCAAGCAATCAACCTGAAGACTGACATAACAAACTAGGGGGAGAGAAGAGGCCATATGGTAGAAGTTAGGAAGTGCAGAGATGTGGTTTGGGGGAGAAATGGATTGCAGATCCTATGGAGGTGAGGGGGCCCTGGTTTTGGAGAGAGAGGGGGAGAGAGAGAGAGAGAGAGAGAGAGAGAGAGAGAGAGAGAGAGAGAGGGAGAGAGGAGCACACAGGGAAATGCATAAGGAGAACACTTCCCCCAAAGCCATTGGCTGGGAAAATGAGAGAGGCTGATTTTCATGAGTTTTTGCAACCAGTGGGGCTTAGAGACTGGACTTTTAAAGGTCGTGGGCTTGGCTGGGATATAGCCCTGTGGATACTGCCCTATGCCTGGAGAGAATGCGCAAACAACCTGATGGGAAACAACATGGAAACAATGATCTGTAAAATGCCTGGGACATGCGGGGAGACTTTACTCACTGTCTCATAGTGCTTCCCTGAGTGGCAGCATTCATGGATTTGCCTCTCTGAGGATAGAGTTGCTGATTAGTGCCATTCCTTCTGCTCCCGCCCCATGGAATAAACACAGAGCCACCCCACCTGTGGTAAACAGCACAGCACCCACATTGGCTGCCTGACCTGCTCATATCAGGTCACCCCGTCTTGTGCTATGCAAGTTTGTCCTTCTTGAACAAGTTTGCCTCAGGCCCAATACCACAGGCCCCTTCCCAAGAAGACCAGCAGAAACCTCTGCCCATAGCAAATCTCCCATCCAGAGAGTTCCACAGCTTCAGTTCTAGTGGAAGTAGTATTAGGTTATGCTTAACAAGCAGACAAGAGTATACCTACTTAAAACTCTCTATACTCTGGCCAAGGGCAAAACACTTCCAGTTGCAGGCAAGGAGAACCTCTGCAGAGACTGGCCTAAAGGATAGGGCATTCAAACATAGAAGTAGAATGCCTGCAGCACATGCCAAAGTCACTTCCTGAAGTACCTGGCCCTGGACAATATATGACCTCTTCTTCATAAAGTCATTACTCTCAGAAGCAGGAAACAATAGGGTTTTCATACACAAAGAAGACAGAAACTTAGGCAAAATACTAAGATGGAGGAATTCATCCCAAATGGAACAACAAAATAAGGTCATGTTCAGAGATCTAATTGAAAGAGATCTAAGTTATATGCTTGATGGAGAATTTAAAGTAATCCTAAGGACATTTGCTGAGCTTGAGAAAATAATGGAAGACTTCAGGAAGGCCTTTACCACAGAGAGAAAAGAGATAAAAAACAGAAATGAAACATGCAATAATTCTTATTTGAAACAGACTGGATACAATGAACACAGGATCAAGAAGCAAAGGAATGAAAAAGTGATATAGAACATAAAATAATGCAAAATAATGAAACTGAAAAGAAGAATCATGGAACATAAGAATAGACTTAGGTAACTCAGTGATTCCATCAAATGTAATAACATTTGTATTATAAGAATCACAGAGAGAACAGAGCACAGGAAATGTATTTCAGGAAATTTACCTGAAAATTTCCTTAATCTGGAGAAGGAAACAGACATCCAGATCCAGGAGGCACAGAGAAGTCCAGTTAAAATCAGTAAAAGCAGGCCAACACCAACACATAATGTAATTTGTTTTTTTCCCATAATGTAATTTAATTGGCAAAATACAGTGATGAAGAAAAAATCCTAAAAGAAGACCCTAACTTACAAGGTTAGATGCATAAGGCTAGCCGTAGCTCTCTCCATAGAAACTTGGCAAGCCAGAAGGAAGTGGCAGGCTATATTCAGTGTGCTGAAGGGAAAAAATCTGAAGCCAAGAATGCTCTATCCAGCAAGGCTATCATTCAGAATAGAGAGATAAAAGAGTTTCCTAGACAAACAAAAACTATAGGAGCCACTAAACCATCCCTGCAAGAAATATTAAAGGGGACTCTGAGTGGAAAGGAAAGACCAAAATTGACAAAGACAAGAAAGGAACAGAGATCTCCAGAAATAACAAAACAAGAGTAAACTGACACTAAGTACATATCTATCAATAATTACTCTGAAGGTAAGTGGACCAAACATTTAAATTAAAAGACATAGAATCTCAGAATGGATTAAAAAAAGACCCATCTATGTGTTGCCTACAGGTATCCACTTTAGATCTAAAGACACCTGGAGATTGAAAGTGAGGGGATGAAGAAACATTTATCATGCAAATGGACATCAAAAGAAAGCTGGAGTAGCAATATTTATTATGGACAAACTAGACTTCGAACTGAAGATTATAACAAGAGATGAAGGGCACTCTATTATAATAAAGAGAACAGTACAACAAAAAGTTCTTACAGTTGTAAATATTTTAGCATCTGCCATGGGAGCTCTCAAATATATAAAACAAGAAATAACAAGTATCAAGGAACTCATTGATTATGATACAAAAATAGCAGTTGACTTTAACACCAACTTACATCAATAGACAGATCATCTTAGCAGAAAATCAGCAAGGAGACAATGGCTTTGAATGACACACTAGACAAATGGATTTAACAGATACATTCCATCCTATAGTATCAGAATACACATTCTTTTCAAGTGCATATGAGACATTCTCCAGAATAGACCATATACTAGGTCACAAATCAGGCCTTAATAACTACAAAAAGACTTAGATTGTAGTAGGCCTATTTTCTGACCACAGTTCTATGAAACTAGAAGTCAACCACAAGAAAAAAATTGGAAAGATAATAAATACATGGAGGGTAAACAGAATGATACTAAACAATGAATGGGTCAACCAAGAAACAAAAGAAATAGAAAAAATTACATGGAAGCAAAAGTGGTCCTAAGAGAGAGGATATAACAATACATGTCTAAGTCAAGAGACAAGAAAAATTTCCAATAAACAAGATATCTTGTACCTAAAGGAGCTAGAAAAAACAACAACAATTGAAGCTTAGAGCCAGCAGAAGGAAAGAAAATAAATATTAGAGAAGAAATAAATGATATAGAAATAAAAATGCAATAGAACAATGAAACCAGGAGCTGGTTCTTTAACAAAAAGCTAATAAAATTGATAAACCTCTAGTAGATGTAGCAAAAAGAAAAGAGGAAGTATCCAAATAAATAAAATCACAAATGCGAGAGGAGAAATAACAACCAACACTGTGGAAATAGTTAGAATATTATGAACAAATATGGCAACGAATTGGACAACCTGGAAAAATGGATAAATTCTTAGAAACATACAAATTACCAAAACTGAAACAGGAACAAATGGAAAGCTTGAATGGACTCATAACTAGCAAAGAAATTGAAACTAATAAAAAGAAAACTGCCAGAAAACAAATGTTCAGGACCAGATGGCTTCACAGGCGAATTCTACCAAACATTTAAAGAAGACCTAACTACCTGTTCTCAAGCTATTCCAAAAAGTGGAAAAGGAAGGAAAACTTCCAAATTCATTCTATGAGGCCAACTTTATCCTGATACCAACATTAGATGAAGACTTCATTAAAGAATAAAACTACAAGCCAATATCCATGAGGAACATGGATGCAAAATTCTCAATAAAATACTAGCAAACCAGATACAATACACCAAAAAAATTATTCACCATGATGAAGTTGGATTGATTCCTGTGTTGCAAGGGTGGTTTAATATTTGCAAATCAATCACTGTGATATACACCAAATTATTAGAAGAAAGGAAAGGACCATATGATCCTTTTAATACGTGCAAGCATTTGGCAACTCACAATATCCATTTATGATCAAAACCCTCAACAAAGTAAGGACAGAAACAACATAGCTCAAAATAATAAAGGCCATCTATGAAAAATGCACAGCTAGTATCATCCTCAGTGAGGAAGAACTGAGAACTTTTCTTCTACACTCAAGAGCAACCCTGGGATGTGCACTCTCACCATTGTCATTTAATGTAGAACTAGAATTCCTAGCCATAGCAAGCAGACAACAAAAAGAAAGAAAAGGCATCCAAATTGTCTAGGAAGAAGTCAAAATTTCATTATTTGCAGATGACATGATGCTCTTTATAGAAAATCTTAAAGACTGCACCAAAAAACTGCTAGAACTAATACAGGAATTCAGTAAAATTGCAGGATACAAAATCACTGTACAGAAATCTTTTGCATTTCTATACATCAATAATGAAGCAGGAGAAAGGGAAATCAAGGAATCAGTCCCATTTACAGTCGCACCAAAAACCATGTTACCTAGGAATAAATCCTATCAGAGGTAAAAGATCTGTACTCTGAAAACTATAAAACACTGATGAAAGAAATTGAGGAAGACACAAAGAAATGGGAAAACATTCCATACTTGTTGCAGACTTTGAGTCTGGAGTTCTCTCTTGTCCAGTAGGAGAGCAGAGGCAGAACTGAACATGAGAGAGGCTAATGTCTAGGAGGAGACAAGACCCCTGAGTAAGGGTCCTTGCTCTGTATTTATTAGGATCAGAAGACTTATATACGTGATGGACGTGCCGAAAGAGACAATAAAACAGTGATCATTAATTCATGTGTGTGGGAGAAAGGCGTTTGGAAGGTATGCAGTGTTAGGGATTTGGATCAAGACAAATCAAAGTCCCGGCACTGAGGCAGACAGCCATTTACTGTAGGCACTGTGCACCGAGTCTGTTTATCTTAACTTTTCAGGGGCTAATACAGAGCATGCTACCTCAGGGTTAACATGGCATTTTTCTTATTAATTAGCTCTGGGCATTTTTGCCCTGTAGCGGCTTTCCACTCTATGCTTTGTTTTACTTAATGATAAAGTTTGGGCACTTTTGCCCTGCTGCGGTGGCTTTCCTTCTCCGCCTGTTCTCAGACCCTTTCATTCTGTGGAAGCGGCTTTCTGCTCTATGCCCTATTCTATGCTGAGCACTTTCGCACTGTGGTGGCTTTCTGCCCTAAGCCTTGTTAACCCATTGGTGCAAGCTCAGATAATTCTTAAACTTATTCCCTACACATGCTTATTAATTAGAACAAATATTGTTAAAATGTGTGTATTACCCCAAGGAATCTAAACATTTTATGCAATATCTATCAAAATACCACCAGTATTTTTCACAGAGATGGAAGAAACAATTCTAAAGTTTGTGTAGTTCTACAAAAGTCACTGAATAATCAAAGCCAATATTGTAAAAGAAAAGAAAAGCGAGAGACATCACAATTCCAGACTTCAAGTTATATTACAAAGCAGTAGTGATCAAGGCCCTGTGGTACTGGCACAATAATAGAGATAAATGGAACAAAATAGAAAACCAAGAAATGAAATCACAACTTTATGGTCAATTAATCTTCAACAAAGCAGGAAACAGTATCCAATGGCAAAAAGTCTCTTCAACAAGGGGTGCTGAGGAAACTGGATGGTGACATGGAGAATGAATATGGACCACTTTCTTACACCATACACAAAAATAAATTTAAAATGCGTGAAAGATCTAAATGTGAGACAGGAAACCATCAAAATCCTAGAGGAGAACACAGACAGTAACCACTTTGACATAGACCATAGGAACTTCTTACAACATAGGTCTCCTTACTTACTACATAGGTCTTCTTAGGAAGGGGAAACAAAAGCAAAAATAAGCGATTGGGACCTCATGAAGATGAAAAGCTTCTGCACAGTGAGGGAAACAATCAACAAAACGAAAATACAGCCTTCAGAATGGGAGAAGATATTTGCAAATAACACATCTGATAAAAGCTAAGTATCCAAAAAATATAAAGAACTTATAAAACTCAATATACAATTGATTTTTATATACTGATCTTGTATTCTAAAATAAAATGAAGCAGTTTATTAGTTCTAATATTATTTTTCTTGGGTCCTTAGGTTTTTGTCTATATAAGATCATGTTATCTGCAAATAGCAATAGATTTCTTCTCTAACATCTTCCCTTCCAATTTGGATGACTTACATTTCTTTTTCTTACCAAATAATGTTCAAAAGAAGTGGCGAGAACATGCATCTTAGTTTTCTTGGCCTTGATGAGAAAGTGTTCAATCATCTACCAATAAGTATGATGGCAGTTGTGGTTCTTTTGTAGATGGCCTTTATGAGACTTCCTTCTATTTCTAGTTTCTTGAGTGTTTTTGTCATGAGTGGGCATTGGATTTTGTCAAATAAATTTTCTGCATTATTGAGGTTATAATTTAATTCCATTAGTTTAATATATTACATTGATTGATTTTTACATGGTAAATGAATTTTATATTCTGGAATAAACCATACTTGCTCATGGTAGATAATCCTTTTACATGTTGCTGGATTTGATTTTCTAGTGTTTTATTAAAGTTGTTTTGCATCTTTATATTCATATGGCATATTGGTCTATAGGTTTCTTTTGTTGTGATGTCTTTGTTTAGTTTTGGAATGAGGATAATACCGGCCTCTTGGAAGGAGTAGAGAACTGTTCCCATGTATTTTATTTTGTGACAATTTGTGGAGGTATAGTGTTGAGTCTTCTTTTAAAAAGTGTTTTTGTAATGTTTTCCAGTGAAGCCTTCTTGCCCTGAGATTGTGTGTTTGGACATTTTTTTTGATCACTAATTTATTCTCTTTACTTGTCATAGGTCTATGAACATTTTCCATTTCTTCTTGTGTCAGTTTAAGTAGTTTGTGTGTTTCTAGGAATTTATCCATTTAATCTAGATTGTCTAATTGATCAGTATCTAATTGTTATAATATTTCTTTATAATACTTTTTATTTCTGTAAGGTTTGTATTTATGTCTGATCCTTCATTTCTGATTTTGGTAATTTGAATCTTTTCTCTTTTTCTCCTTGTTCTTTGTAACTAAAGGCATGCTAATTTTTTTATTTGGTTTCATTGCTTTTCTTAATTTTTGTCTACATTTTTCTATGTTTTATTAATTTCCATTCTAGCTTTTACTATGTCATTCCTACTGCTTGCTTTGTGTTAACTATTCATTCTTTTTCTAGTTTCTTCTGGTATAAAGGTATATTATTGTTTTCAGATATTTCTTCTTTTTTAATACAAGAATTTAAAGCCATATATTTCCCCATACACATTGTGATAATTTTATTGCAGAAGTTTTGGTATGTTGTATTTTGATTTCATTTATCTCAAAGTATTTTCTAATTTTCTTGTGTTTCCTCTTTTATTCTTGAGTTATTTGGAAGTGTGTTGTTAAATTTCCACAGATTTATGGATTTCCAAATTTCCTCCTGTTGGTTTCTAATTTCATTCCAATGGAGTAAGAGAATATACTTTGTATGATTTCAATTGTATTAAATTTATTAAGACTTTTATTTTGGCCTAGCATATGATGTTTTCTTGAGAATGTCCGTGTACATTTGAGAAGGTGTATTTTCCTGTTGTTGGGTGGAGTATTTATTTTATAGGTGTATGTAATACCTATTGATTTACAATGTTGTTAAGGTCTTTTATTTCCTTATTGGCATCCTCTCTATTTTTCTTTTTTAAGTTTTTAAATTTATTTTTGAGAGAGAGAGAGAGAGCGCACGCAGGGGAGGTGCAGAGAGAGGAGGGACAGAAGGTCTTAAGCCGACTATGTGCAGACAGTGGAGAGCCCGATGGAGGGCTCAAACTTATCGACTGTGAGATCATGACCTGAGCTGAAGGCAGACACTTAACCGACTGAGCCACATAGGTGCCCCTCTGTGTTTTCTATTTATTATTGAAATACAGGTATTAAAATCTCTGTTTATTATTGTCAATTTGCCTATTTCATTTCTGTCGATATTTTGCTTTATGTATTTAT